GAGAGACTGGTCAGACTGATTTCAGACCAGAAGAATTCTGACACAGAAGAATTCTGCATCCTCCCAGTAGATCTAACAAATTAGAGCCAAAAAAGGAATCTAGAGGAGCACCAAAGACCTTTTAATACTTTGAGAGGCATCCCTTGGCAAGAAACTAGCTCATTTCCAAGGCTGGCCATGACTGTCACAGCCCTTAGATGAGTTCAGCACATCCACAGAGAGAACTTAATTTGCTGTCTGATCAGCAAGCAGTTGGAAAAATCATGTAGCAGTTGAAACAGTTCCACATGGAAGAGATTTATAGAACCATAACTTCCCAAGGAATTTTGAAAGCAGCAATCTTGGATATTGAATGAGACATGGGAGATTAAAAAAAAAATCAGATCTTCAAGAATTTGCTAAACCTGCACCACAAACATAGCTCCTGGACAGGTGCAGGGTCAAATAGCAAATTCAAGACAGACAGTTGCAAACCTAATAATCTTCTAACTACCCAGCGTTACTTTAACATATAGACAGGATTTTTGTTCTTGGAGGTTTCCTTTTCTAAGCACCAACCAGCCTAATTCTCTTTAGCTTGCAAAATCAGACAAGATCACAGCCTGGAGGGGAAAGGGTACCATGATAAATATTTCATGGGCTACATCAATATAATTTTTTTTGCCGAGGAAAAGCAGAGAAATAATTTATTAAAAGAACTGGAGCTTAGCAGTGCTGGGGAGCAAAAAGCAAAAAGCTGGGGGGGGGGAAAAGCCATGCTAGGAACAAAAAGAATTAAACACAGAAATTTTAAATAGGTCAGAAGCTTATGTACTTTTAACACTTGGCAAACTGATAAAGATCTGACCTTTTCAGAACAAGAGTACTGCAAAGTGTGTACTTTACAGTAATTCACCTTTCCAAATAAATATCTCCAGACACACAGGTAGTAGTTTCAGCTTCTTGCATATCATCCAACTTTTACGATCTGCTAAGTACAGGAAAGTGTCATTGCTCAAAACCCACTACAGAATACAACTGGTACCTTGAGGTTTCCTTTGTTTCTCAGAGCAAGTCTTCCCTATTTTATATTTGATGGGGCAATAAGCTGTGTCTTCCAGAAGATAAATATGCAGCAGCAAGAATTAAGTTATTTAGTACAAAGCTTAAACTTTCCTGCAGTGGAGTTACTCAGTGTAATATATGTTAGAAATAATTCATGCTATTTAAGAATGTATGTTATAAAGATTATAAAATCTGAACATGTCTCTGACCACATACGGCCCAAGACCAGATGTCTATTCAGATTCCAAAGAATTCCCGGACACAGCTAAGATAACGATCAACGCTTTAGCATAAGAATAGACGCTTCCAGGATGATGATCACTGTTATAAAATTGACTCAAAACGAGCAATTTCCAATCAAAGAATTTATTAATTATTGAAGCAGTTATACTACGTAAGCAAAGGCTCAGCGCTGGGCGACAGGGGAGTCTCAGCTCCACCTATTGCCGCACCAACTAGTTTCTGATTCAGTCCTTTTATCCTCTCCATCCTTCAGGAGTCCATGTTATCTCGGAGTTCTCTGCGCCTGCGCTGGTTGTTGCTAGAGGGTCATCCTTCTGTCTCCTGGTGGTCGGTGATAAAAGGCTGCGGAGTCTTCCTCAGCTGCGTCTTCTTCACCCTATGTCTTTATTTGGTGACTTCTCCGTGGAAAATTACCAAAATCTTATGATTAACGCAATATGTGCCCTATCAAGTTTCAGCAAGCAAATATCCTGCCTTGCAGACTGTTTATCTGCCCCTGCCCCTTCCCCAGCTTTTCCCTGGTCGTTATCTCTGTGAGTTATCTGCTTGTACCATTTGTCAGCGGGAAAGGTTTCCCTGCTGGGTGTTAATCTGCCCCTGCCCTTTCCCCAGCCTTTCCCTGGTCGTTATTTCTGTTAGTTATCTGTTTGTACCATTTTCTGGGTGGGACTATGTGTGGGCTCCTGCAACCCCTTCCCTGGTATCCTTGTAGCTCATATCTCATGAAGTAGTACAGAAATAGTCAGCAGACAACTCTTGTAACACACTGGTCTCTTTTTCGTGATGAACAAAATGTAGTCCTTCATCTCAATCACCTGTATCTGGAGTCATTGGAAACCGCCTAAGAGCGATCATCACCCTGCAGATTACATCAATCAAGATAGCCAGCAACCCAGAACTATACATCTGAATACATGGCTTCCCTGGAGCCCATCAACGCTGACTATCCACCTGGAGACGATCTTTGTCCAGCTCTGCACACTGAAAGAAACAACGATGAATGTGAAGAGTTAAAAAAGAAATTGGTACTCCTTCGCCTCGGGCACAATAAACTGTATAAAACCGCAAGAAGCGGTTCTCGTGAACGGGGTAGGGTCCGATGCTATAGAGGTGGGATCCAGGTTCACCCAGCGCCGATTCCAGGCTCGACGCTGTCTCTTTGGCTGTGGTGGTTTCGAAGACCGTAATTCGGTCACGCAGAAAGATTAATAAGTCTTTTCACAATTTTTGATAATTTGGCTCACGATTGATCATTTATAACACTCAGCAAAGCTTAAAATTTGCAACTTGCATCACACATTTTGCAAGAAATAAATGTTTAGCCTGTTATGAGTAAAAAGTTGTCTGTATTTTTAAAAGTTGCAGAGTTCACAAGTTAAACCAATTGCTGCCAAGTTGGAGTTCTATTTATTGTTAATAATTTCATGTTGTAATCTCCTGTTAACAGTTTCCTTTTGATTTACCTGTTCTCAATAGTGCCTGGAACCAGTCCGTCACTGTCTTCCCGCCCCGGGAGGGGTGGGCCCCCCCCCGGTGGGCCCCCCCCCACCTTTCAGTGCGGGCCCACCCATGCCGGGGGTAGCCTGAGGGTGCTCCAGGAGTGGCGGGGCGCCCCTCCCTCGTCGTGGGTCCTGGCCATGCCAGGGGAGCCCCCCGGGGGTGCCCCAGGGGTGCGGACCCGCCCCAGGAGTGGCGGGGTGCCCCTCCGGCCGTGTGGGGGCAGCTGCTGGCCGGCTCCCTTAGCTGGGCCTTGCCCTGCTGCTTCCTGGAAGATGGCACCCAGACGGTGAAGAGGCGGGGACATCGAGTTGGCATGCAAATGACATCGGATCCAGCATGCAATGGGAGAAGCCCCTCACCAAACCTAGCCAAAAACCCCTCAAAACAACGAGTCAACACAAAATTGACTAATCAAAGTGATGTCTAGACGTGAAGAACAGAATCTAGTATCTGCTAAGACCCTTTTTAATCCTCACCCTAACCTAAGATGTAGGCTAGACAGAGGAAGTCAAATGTTAAACCAGAAAAAGGGGGACTGTCCTCAAGCTCTGGTGAGGATGGAAACCCCAGCTCTGCCCACAGACCAGTGAACAAAGCTGCGCTCTTTCTCCTCCTCTGTGTCACCCCTGGGAGCAGCAGTGGCATGACCACAGACCTGTGAGCTGATCATTATTAATAAAGGCAGTAAAAAGGAGTAAGGTCTCCAGCCTGTGTTTATTTCATAACCTTTTCTTTCTTTCTGCCACTATTTGAAGCCATTTCCAGTAATACAAGAGCAAACAGAACCTTGGTTTTATGACACCTTTTCCATTTACTCCCCTGCTCCATCCAATTTTGACCTCTTACAACCAGAGGTCAGCAAGATGAACTGGAAAAACAGCAGGAATTCCTTGTGTTCAGCTAAACTAAACAAGTCCAGGACCCAGTAATTCCCAAATTCTAATCCCAAACCTGCCAATCACTTGCTGTATGGCTTTGAATCACTGGATTTGGGAATTTTGCTTTCAAATGGGTACATTGGAGAAGAGCACACTGTGCAAAAAATAGAAGAGTCTCAGGAGAGCATTAGGTTAAACAGCATTAAAATCCTTCACAGCCCTTCAGTGAGATTTGGTAACAGGCAAAATTTACCTTTTTAGAAATCTTTCATTTGAAATTATTTAATAATTTTATGGATGAAATCACACTACTTAAACTTTACTTAATGATAAAATACAGAGATGACGATAAAAGAGAATTACTTGCTAACCACAACAAAACCCTCTCCCATCAGCAGAGCTGTCTCAGGACAAACTGGTCAGTACCATCCAACAGCCGAGTGTTCCATAAGTGATGCTGAGCTGCGCTCTAGTGAAGTCAGAAACCACTTCCAGCACCTGGATTTCTGAAATTCAGGTCTCAGTACTGAAAGGGTTAAAAGCATTGTGTCTAGGCATACTTGAACAAGAGTAAAATACATTTTAACCAATATAGAAGGTAGCAAAAATTAGCAGTAAGAGATACAGGATGAAACTTGGGGAGAAGTAGGGAACAGAACTTGCAAAAATGAAGGACAGTTTGCTAGAACCAGCGAGAAAATCCCTGAAACAGCTAATGAGAGATTGCTCATGTCTAGAGGAGAAAGGTGAAAAGGGGACAGGGATGAAGACGTCCAGCCTGCATCAGGGGACCGCTGAGGCAGGATGCGGAGCCTTCCTCAGCGGCCACCAGGACGCACTGCACCTGCGTTTCCTGTGTGCTAATGATCATGAGTTCTAAGAAATAGTTTGCATAACCACACTTTTTCTAAGGAAAACTATGAATATGCATAAAGTATGACCATATATTGAAATATGCTATGTACCTGTGTGCACGCTGCTAGGAGGAGATATCCCTGTGCACCCAACACACTGAATAAAGAAAATACTTGCTTCTCAGACTTTGTCTCAGGAATGTCTCTTGGCCCAGTCTGAGGCAATTCAGTCCCAGACAGACTTCAGCCAGATTTGTTTGCAACAGAAGAATCCTACAGCAAGCATCTTAATCAGTGCATATTAACAGTGTGATTATGTTTTAATTTCACTCTTCCATCCTAGAGTCTTCAGTTCAGGTTGAGATTAAACACTGTACTCAATTTAACACCTCCAGAGCATACTCTGCTTTTTCCAAGACTTGTGAATTCAAGTTCTCATCTCACAATTAATCACTGGCAAAAACACTCCAAAAACCCAATATATCTGAACATATGGTATTTTATTTTTTAAAATAGCATGACAAGAATTCACCAATAGGCTCATATAGTCAAAATCTTTGATGTGGTTATACAATCAATTTTTCTCATGCTCAGAGTACATCTTCTGGGATGCCACATTCACTGAAGTCTTAATGACTTCAGTACTGGTTACTGGAGCATCTTGACTGGTGCTGTTACCTCCCAGAAAATTCCATTGTGGAAAGAGGTCAGACATGAGTCACAATTTACTCTCAAATGAGGGTTTTACTGTAGTAGGTCCCTAATCAACCTTTATTTCATGAATTTAAGCAGAACAAGGTAGCCACTTTAGGAAGAGAGAAGAGGAGCAGGATTTGGCAGCAGATGAAGAAGCAGCAGCAGACCCTGTAGCCCAGTCCCAGCTTGGGGATCCTGATGGATTTTCACCACTGATTTAAATTTCATCACTGATTTAAAAATCATGTGATACTCAAGATTCTTTGCTTTCACAAAAAGACTGGGGTTTTCCTTAAAAATTAAACCCATGTTAGATGCAGTTGTTTCTGTGACACTGGAGGCAGGAAAGCATAAACAGGGTGGGTTTTTTTCACCTCTTGGTTTAGGGCACCTTGAAGCCACAGCTGGGAAGTTGGGCTAAGCTGCAACACCAACATCAACAGGGTCTCAGGGGACTGGGCTCCTCTAGGCAACAAAATGCTGTTTCCAGCCCAGCCTCAAGTGAACCAGGCTGATGGAAAAGCTCCTGCTAAACGCATGGAGCAGAGGTCAGTTTGCAAAAAATTTCTGTTTCAGCACAGGAATATTTCACATAATTATAATAATTAAGACATTCAAGCACTTCTGGAAGACACAAGCTTGAGTGCCAAGCAATAAAATCTTACTTGTGAGCTTACACGAAGCACTGGAATAAGTTGAAACAAGTTGCCTGGAAACTTACCAGGTACATTTATTTAAAAACAACAAATTTAAAAATACATATATTCTATTAGTATTTTGTAGCTTCCATATAAAATAAAAAAATAATAATAATTGCAAAAAAAGCTTTGCTTTTGTCAGCATCATTTTATCTGCAGGTTACAAAACCTGGGGAAAGACCAGTAGAGATAGTTTTGTTAGTATTTTCCAAACACCAAGCCATCACAAAATTCTATGCAAGCTTAATATGCAGAAATCAGAGCTGCTTCCAGTCTAAATAAGTACAGCCTCCCCTCATTAACACAGTTTTTGTCAATCTAGTGTATTATTGTCAAGGCTACAAGATTTTCCAGTTTCCCAAGAAGACATTTAAGTGCACAAAAAAATCATATCTGCACACAAACTATGCTTCACACTTCAGTAATTCCTGTAATGGGAATTTGAAAAGATGCAGACTTCTGTGGGCTTACAAAACTCCAGAATAGGATCAAGCCTAGTCCCTGTCAGCCTGCAGCTGTTTATCAACATTGATGAGTTTGACTTAAATATAACCAGCTCAGTCCAGCTGACAGTGGTTTTTAGTTGAACTATCAACTTGCTGCATTATCAGAAAAGCTGAGAGTGACAAGGCCAGTCCTACTCCAGCCCATGAGTGATCCAGGCAGGACAGATCACACAGGGCTAAGAAATTCTTCCTGCCATCTATAAAGAAGTGGAGGCAGCAAAATGAAAATTTTGAGGCTCCTCAAGGCAACACTTTAAACAGTTCTAGTGCTGTTTTTACCTCAGTTACTGGTTCATTTTCTCCTGTATCTTCTTTCAGAAGAATGAATAATGTTTCAGCCTAAAGAAAAAAAAAAAAGAGATATTTAAAACTTCTCAGTAATCTGTTGAGGGGACAACACAAAGAAACAATAGCTCTTCAGCAGTGTCACTGAGTATCCTCAGCTAATCTGAAACATAGATGTAGTAAAAGATAACAAACATCCACCTGCTAGAATAACTTAAGTGCCATTATAATATGCAGTTCAATTTCAAATAAAGGACAAATCACAAGATTTATTCATATTTAGGAATATTTTTGTAAATTTTCCCTGTCTTGATAAATCTTTAAAATCTCATCTTAAAATTAAGCAGTTTTTCAAGCACCATGAAGTTGTGATTTGAAAAAAAAAAATATTCCTGCTTAAAATTAGCCCTGCTCCTCACCCCTGACCACACCAGCAGGGGAGCAAAATCAAAAAGTATGGAAACAGGGTGTATTGCATAATGTGACAAAGATCAAGGGTCATTCTCCAGCAGGGAAAGCCAACTCCACACTCCAACAATTCATCAGGTGTAATTCAGATCAAGGAATCACTTTATCATTTACAGTCATCTTCCCCATCTTACAGAACATAAGCATTTTACCTGGGATTAATGGACCTAACTTAGTACCTACCTAAATAACAAAGCTTTGCCTTTGTTATTTGCTACAGAGAAATATCCACTTCTGGGAGAGAAGTCCATAGATTGAGTAAGATAAATCTGTTTTTTTCTGAAGACTGGGAAATTTGAGAATACAGTATATGAAGGAAGATGCACCTATTGAGAAATAGGTCAGAATTTAGAGTTGGGAAAAAACACTAAAAATGAAATTAAACTACAAATCTATAATTGAAGCTTAATGTTGAATTCAAATTTTCAGTTATATTCCTACCCTACATGACTCTTCCTATAGAAATCTATTGGAGAAAATGAGCAGGGAACACATCATGGAACCAATTATTGCAATTCTCAGGCCTACAAATCCTCAGATTAATTCAACAGTTCCTCTGTTGGCCAGAATTTTGATAAGGCTGGCAAAAAACCCCCATAGTAAGATGGTTACAGTTACCAACTGCTGAAAACTCACATTTGTTGCTGAGCTATATTTACAGCGCTGAAATTGAATCACATACCGGTTAGGTTAGAAGGGACCATAGAGTTTTCATCCAGTTCCAACCCACTGCCATGGGCTGGGACACCTTCCACTAGACCAGCTTGCTCCAAGCCCTGTCCAACCTGGCATCAAACACTTCCAGACATTTTAGAGAGCATTTTAAAAAGGTAAAAAAGGTAAACTAAACTACAAAATGTTATGTTCAAAGCAACTTTACTATGGAAAATAAAATTATACTCTTGTAAATGCAGAGTGTCTTGGCCATGTCCTGATCTGGTTGGTCCAGCACCTTTTGCAGTATCTTATCTGCTTCATATAAGTTTTATTATGTCACCAGCAGTATTTTGAGCAAGATTTATAAGAAATATTGTAAAAAGAAACTGAACATACCAATTTGACAGCCTCATCAGTGTCACGGGAAGCCACTGCCAAAATCTCTGTGGTGGGATTAAAGGTCACGCAGGTGGCAGAAGTAACAAGGTTCATTATGGCCTTAACTGGTTTAGGACGGTTTTCTTTGAGGCAGGCATCAGTAGTGTATAAATTTACAACTCCAGAAGATGAACTAAAGAACAAAATGAACAAATATTATACTGAAAAGTAACATTCCAGTATATACTGTCTTGTTTTCTATAGCCACTACTCACCTGAAAATGTAATTTCCAATTATTTACTGGAGTCTGCAATAATATTTTGTTTGGAGCTTGATTTTCCTTTGGAGTTTATAACAGTATCTAGTGGAGGAGTTTAGGTTTTTGCTAGACTGGATTTTCTTTTTTCTTATATAGTAAGAGACTCAACTGTAGAGAGCCTTGATGAGCCCATCTCTTACCGGGATAAATTCAAAGCAAGGAGAGCTTGATATCAAAAAATTCTGAAGTAACTTCAAAATTTTTTGGCTGTTTTTTGGGGTTTTTGGTTTTGTTTGGTTTTTTTTTTTTTAGTAACTGTAGCATAAGCTCACTTTAAAATCCTCTTCTACAGTGAGCTAGGAAAATATATATTGTACTCCTCTATTTATTTGCTATTCTCATTTAAAGGAATCCAGACACTAGCTGAAACTGCATCTCGGTAAATTTGGAGAAACAGTTTCAGCCTGTGGCTTTGAGTTGAGGCCTCCTTTTGAAAGGCTAACATGGCGCCTGGCAGAAGCCAAATTTAGAGTACAGGGAAGAGAACCAGAAAAGGGAGAAGACCCTGAATCAACACTGCTGTCAGAGAATTTGTAATTTTAGTCAGTGTGATTTCAAAATTAACTGCTGAACCCAAACATGGCAATAGTAATACCAGTATCACTCCTATTGTTTTAGGTGTACTATGGTATTTTATATTTACAAAGAGAAAAGTAAATTATTACCATAAGATAAGGAATATTAATCTATTAATGCCTACTCTTTTCTTATTAGAACCAAACCATGTTCCTACACTCTCACCAGCCACCCACAGGTCCACTGAAGAGCTTCAAAATGATAGCACAAGTTGCTGTCAAAGTTCAGACACTTACCCACATGCCACATACTGGTTATTTTTTGAAACAGCAATGCACTTTCCTTCCAAAGAACCTTCATCTTCAAATTTGTGTAGACTCTTTTGGCTTCTCACATCCCAAATGAAAACTTCGCCTTCCTCTGGTTGCAGAATGAAAGATATTAGAGAAAACTTACATACACATCACTTTGTTAGTCCACTTGGCTAAAAAAAAATTAATTAGATGACAACTAAAAGCTAATTTACAACTATCAAATATAGGGTATTTTAAAAAACCCCTACTGATTAAAGGCATGCTAAAATAGTTAATTCCATTCTTTAATGATTGATCACTTGGTTGTATTTTTAGGAGAGATACTAGCATAAGTTTTTAAAATTATTTTTCTAAAATTATTAACGACTTCTAAGAACTCATGCAATTTAAATGGAGATATTACTAGAGCTGCTGCAATACTCACTTGAATAGCTGTATATTTTACTGCTGTCTGGGGTGAAAGCAGAGGCAGTGCACCTTCCATTCACTTTCATAGTGCTGATCAGTTCTTTCGTCTGCAGGATGAAGAACAATGCTGACACAGATTCTACTAAAAATCTACAGAAAAGTTGTTTCCTGTCCCACAAAAATCTTGTTATCTACCCTGACATTCAGAGAACAGCACCAACATTGTCAGTGCCTGCAGAGCAGAGCACAAGCTCCTGACTCTTAACTGCAGGTGAATCAACAAACACTTGTTTGCTCCCTCACTGAAAGGCCTGAGTTATACAAAACTGAACTGTCTTATTTGAAAGTATTTTTCCCCGTGAAAGTTTAAAACAAATCCACCTGCCATCATAAGGCATTTTAAAATTCAGCTGAAAGATTGCTCTATGCATTATGAATCAATGTTTGGTATGATTCATGAACAGAGTACAGTAGCAGGCACTAGCATGACTCCCAAAAAAGCAATCCTATATTTCTTCCACCCCCAGGTGCCTGTTCCCATGCTGTTTCCATTCCTCTCACCAGCACAGTGCTTGTGCAAGCAGCTGAAATACAGCACTGATACACGACTTCTTCAAGCTGAAAACCCCATGGAACTGCCCTGAGTTCCACCAGTTCCATAGAGCTGGGGAACAAAGTCTCAGAGTGTCCAAAATAATTCCCTGAAGTTGCAGTGGGTTGATTCCACAGCACATTTTTGAGGGCTGTCACAGAACATATCATACCTTGCCTTCAGCTGAAAGTTAGATTGCCTTGCAGATGAGATAAAAGCAGATTCAAAAGAGAAAAGGCACCAAGGAAGCAAAGCTACACCATGCAGAAAAAGTACCTTCATGGACAGCAAGTGAAGGTAACCTGAATTTCCAATCAGCAGCATAAATGATCCATCTGGAGACAGTTCGAAGTTTCTGAGGAATTTTTCCTCCACACCTTTAAAAGAGATTTGAAACTTGAAATTGGTGCAATTTATTCTTTGGCCTCAATATTTAGAGGTAGGATGAATTTGACTAAAACCTGGCTCCAGCTCTTCATTTCTGCAATATGCTGTCACAGAGAAGCTGAACTCAACCTTGCTCATGTGTGATAATTAATATCCCAGACAATTAACACTTAAGGTACTTTATTTCCTTGAAGACAAATTAAAAATACAAACTCCAACAACCCACTGCACTTCGTTTTAAAGGAAATTTATGTGCCATCTCCATTGGGGACAGCTTCAACTGTGCCCAGACACACAGGGCAGCAAAACATACCTCGCACTTTTGGGATAGGGATGATACTCCCAGCCATCATGTCATACACAAAGAACATGCTGTGGTGAGTACCAGTGGCTATAACTTGTTCTCCATCCACACTGAAATGAGCCTTATAAATTGGAAAACTCTCTAAATAGATGCTCTGTATTTTTGGGTTCCTTATACCGTCCACCTTCAAAAAAGAAAGTAACAAACCAGGTTGTCATATTGAGAAATAGATCAAATACTTTTACAGAGTAAAATTATACCAACTTCTCAGCTGAGACTTAAGTAGTAAGAGGTACACCACTATGAAGCCTTAAATTCCTCCTCTCTCCTACAAATCATCTGGTTCTTAGCTCCTCACCTCATGTAACAGGCACTCCCTGCCTTTATGATAGACCTCACATCTCTTGCCCGTACTTTTTTCAAATAATCACTTCTACTCTGCTTTTTCTAAATGGAAACATATGCTTTGATTTGGGTTTTCTTGCAGCTCTGTGAGAGTATCTCATTCCACTTGTCTGACCATTTCAGTGACACTAGGCCATGCTAAGAAATCCTAAGTAAAATCAGGATCTTTAGTTTTCAGAGGAGCCCGGCAGTGTCTCAGGATGAACACCTTCTTCCTGCAGCATAGCCTCTCCATCCCCAACATGGTTTCACAGCATTTTTACAGTCTCAAAGCAATGTAGGCTGCTGCCCCCACTACAGGCTCTCCAAACAAATTAAGAACAAAAAATCCCCTTAGTACTTGTTCCTTGCAAACCTTCAAACCAAACGTTTTTAAACACAAATCTTCAGCTAAAAACTCTGAGACAAAGAGTTTGCCAGTACTCTGCATGTGCTTGGTGTGAAGTCACAGGTGGAAATTCCTTTCAAGATGCCTTTAACCAAGGAATTTCCATTGTAACCACAGACATTGTGTAACCACTGATGATGTGCAGAGGAAGAGAGAAAACAAAGTCTACTATTCCAGGCTATTTAATGTACATTCAAAAAAATGGTTCTATGTTAGTGACCATCAGCAGAATACAAACTGAAGTTCTTCACCTGGAAGAGGGACACAGAGCGATCATGCCCAGCTGTCATCACCACTTGAGCTGAAGGATGAAACTGTACAGTCACCAGTTTTCCATTGGCAAAACGTTCCTGGTTGGCAGGAAGGCAGGTGCTCATCTACAACACAGACCAGACAGTTTAAAAAAAACCCAATAATCACGTATGCTGAATAAAAAGGTGTTTACTCTTTATGCTACAAGACCTCAAGCCCTGTGATGAAGTTCTGGCAGCATGAGGTGAGGAGAGCACACATAGCCTGTTCAGGGAGCTGCTCCAGTACAAATACAGGCTGAACTCAGCAGCCTTTCTATCTGCATTAAAACTAAGTGTAAAACCAGCTGTATTCTGAGTCATCTGAGATAGCTGCAGGAGACAGTGTGAGAAATACTCATTTAAGGCTGCCTTCTTAAAGATCATTTCAGTCACTTCAAAGTCATGGGAGAATTCCATCCTCCCTCTGCAGAAATTAAAATCCTACTACAAGATACTATTTAGAGTACAGAAAATTCTTATGTCAAAAAATACACCTCAGTTTATTGTTTTATGCTTTCATGTGAACTGTTCAATTTTACTTATCCTCTAAAGCTTCTAGTTGCAGAAACAAATTCACAGAATCACTAATTTTATACACAACAAGAGTCAAAGTGTACACTTAAGTCCAACTGAAGTGGAAAGATATGGTTTGTCTTTACCTTCAAAATCCCTCTTGGCAGAGACTCTGAGCTCGTTATGAAATTGCCGGTCCTGCGTAGCAGATCATCATCTTCATCACTGTCACCTCATTAAACCAAAGCATATGGAATCAGCTAATAGCACAAGTACCCACAGCAAAATCAACACATTCCTCACTGAAATGAATTAAATTAAAGCACACTGAAGGAACAAAGCAAACTGAGAAGATATCAAAAGTAATTATCTTCTAGCAAGCTAAATAGGGAATCACAGAGACACTTATCAGAATAGCACTGGGCATATTTACTATCACTCAAAGTCCTTTTGGAGTTCTTCCTGTTCTCTAGATCAGCCCAGGCAGGAACTCCTCCCATGGCTTGCTGAAACCTTATGAGAAAAAGAGGAAAAAGAAAAAAAATATAACTTTTGTGAGACAGTAATTTCCTTCTATGAGTTAAGTACTTAGAAGAAGCACAGTCAGAATTTTGCAGGATTACTTGTACTCAGAACACAATGCAAGTTTTTTAATTAAAAAAAATTAAGATTTCACTGTTTCTTGTATAATTCCCTAGAAGACAAATTAATTTGGGCACTTTGATACAAGTACTAAACAAGCTAGTCCAGACAATGCTAACGCACATTTTATTTACTATTCTTAGTACCATTTGTTATTTAAAAACACTGCAAATACTGCAGGAAGCCCTGACTTTAAAGAGACCACATGAGAACAGTGGATAAAGAGAAAAGTGACTTTGAATATCACATAAATATATTTTAGCTTACAAAATTGTTGGCTAGATCATCCACTCGGGAGATCATCCACTCCAACTCCCTGCTACAGCAGGGTCACCTGGAGTAGGTGACATGTGAAGATGTCCAGGTATGTTTGGAATGTCTCCAGAGGGAGATTCCACAGCCTCCCTGGGCAGCTATTCCAGTGCTCTGGTAATCTCCATGGAAAGAAATTCTTCTTCATGCTGAGATGGAACTTTTTGTGTTTTACTTTATGGTTACTGCCCCTTGTCCTGTTCTAGGTGCCACTGAAAAGAGTCTGGCAACATCCTTCTGGCACCCACCTTGAAGAGCAATGATCATGAGATCAATACGGTCTATATAGTCAGCCAAAAAAACATTAGTGAAACTTACTGTTCCTCAAGTCTTTTCTTTAGTTTTTTCTTAGTAAGCGTTGTCTCAGCATCACTTTTCATTAAATCTTTCCTGTACTTATGGGTCATATCAACGCTAGAGGGTAAAAACAAACAGAACACAAACATCGTTCAAACCAAGGCCACTTACAAGCACTCCCACGTGCGACAAATAATTCTCATCACCTAACCTGAACTTACTTTTCCTCAGCTTCATCGTCCTCATCTACCCAGGCCGGACTTTTGAGCAGTAAGTCACGTTTTGCTTCATTTTCCACCTCCGAATCGCTGGACTCTTCCTGGAGGTCCTTCCCCCCTGCAGCAGTAACCTGAAAACAACCAAACGGACCGTGTGACCGGGGACACGGCTAGGAGCCCGGGGAGCGAGCGGGCGGGGCTGCCGCTGTCGGGTCGGGCCTGGATGTGCCGTACCCGTCGAGGCCCGGACAGGCGCCGCAGCAGCTCATCCTCATGCCCATTGAGGCTATCACCGAATACCAGCTCCTCCAGCTCCCGCTCGGCGCCTGACACGCAACTCAGCGCCTTCAGGTGGCGGGCGCGTCGCGCTGCCTCGGCGGCCGCCGCCTGATTCGCCACAACCAGGAGCCGCTTCGCCGTCCGCTTGGGTTTCGTCATTTTACCCGCTTTGGTCACTTTAGACACTTTCTTCGCCACCTTCATGCTGGATGCTTTTACCGCTTCCCCCCCGCAACCGCCGCCAGACTACGCAGAGCGCACCAGACCCGGAACCGGAACACGTGCACCTGGTCACGTGACCCCCGTTTGGGCACGCCCCCGTCTGCGATAGGCTCATGACACCGCCCCGCCCCCGCCCCATGTGATCAAGACCCCGCTCCCGGCGGCGACCCGTGGCCACGTGACTGCTCTTTTTACCACCCTTTGCTCCCAGCTCCCCGCCCATCCCGAGTTCCACGTGACGCGGCCCAGCTGGGCCGCTCCATTGCGAGCCCGGGGGGGGCGATCCCCGACCCGGGAGGCAATACTCGTCCCTCAGCAGCTGCTCATCGGCCCCTCACCGAGATATCCCGTGTGCACCGCCACTCGCTGGCGGACACGGCTGCTCTTACGCCCCGCGGTCCCTGCCTTAGCACGGAGTGCGCACCCCCGGTAACAAATGATTTCGCCCGGGTGGAGGGGGCATATGGCTGTGTGGCCGCTCCGCGCAGCCCGATCCCGGCGGGGGCGTGTCCGCGCCTGCGCAGCAGAGCGCTCATGTTGTTGATGTCCCGGCGGCCCCAGTCGGTCCTGGTCGGTTCCCGGCGCTCGGAGCGGCTGGACTGCCCGGCCCATTCCCGGCCCGCTGGGCTCGGCCCCGACCCCGGGCACCTACAGCGCCCGAGCTCCTGGGGCGAGCGCGTAGAGGCACTAGGCGGCTCCTGCCCATGAGGGCCTGATGGAAAACACAAAGGAGCTGGTGAGTACTGGAGCCCGCGGGTGGTGCGGCCGCCGCAGCTCCGAGGAAGCCCCAGCCTCTGGTCGGGGAGCGGCGCGGGCTAAGCCGGGGGGGAGGAGCTGAGCGATCCCCGGTGCCCGCGCGAGGGGGAGGCGGCCTCGCAATGTGTGGGTGAAAGTCGGGGACAGCCCTGGTTGTTGCGGGGGTGGCCCCACGGGGTGCAGGGGTTGTGCCCGCCCAGGTCTGGGGCTCCGGGGGCTGGGCAGGCGCTGCTGCTCGCGGGGGAGTCTGGTCGGGGCACGTGGGGGCGGCAGGGCTGTACCCCTTTGTTGCGGCCCGGCTATGCTGGGTCGAGTTTTGTCCTTCGCCTCTCTTTCCTCTTGTCTCGGAGAAAAGTTTCAGCTTCTCGCGGGCGCACTTGAATCCGCTTCTCCCCCTGCTCCGCTGTAGTGCCGGCTTTCAGCAACTTCCTCCTGTAGTTCCAACCTTTTGAAGTTCAGTTTTCCAGCGTAGTCATGTTCAGTGCTGGAGAGTTTTCTTTTTTATCAGCACTTCAAAAGTTTTGGATTTTTTGCGGCCACTTCCCCCCCATTCCGTGTAATTTTTATGACTTCTGATGTTGTGACTGTTCTTTTTGTGAGAAGTAGTAAACTCGTGAAACCAGTTTCACTTTCAGGTTGTTGCTGGAAATGTTTGAAAGCGTAGCAATTTCTGCCCGGTGTAGCTTTGAAAATTAGAAGTCCTACTACAAAGCATATGATGATTATAGTAAAAAATTCTGTGTGTGAAAAAGCAATTTATTTTAAAATGTGGCTGGCAACTGTTACAATTTTTCAAATCCAAACCTAGTCAAAACTGAAAGCTGCAGGGCAATCTCTTGAATTTTAAATTAAAATTATTTTGCACGTTTGAGAAACTGCATTTACCTATTTATTGTATTCAACAGTTTGAATTTAACTTAAAAGGAATGGACTAAGGCTATGAGAGTCTAATCTGGAGCCTTCAATGAGAACTAAATAATATATTCCCTTAAGAAGGTAATAAAACTTGGCAGGTTAATTGTCCTTACTCATTTCTTCAGCCTAGGCATCGTTTTGAGGAAGTGGGTAATGTAGGCTGTAGGAAATTATGCAGAGGGATCTTGTTTCCCAGGAACAGTTTAGGTGTTGTTCTTGAGAATATGTGGGCTTGTGCGCATGCCGAAAGATTGCAAACTGGAAGTAAGAATTCTCTTCATTGTTCCCTAAAGAGCAAGGTGCCCCTGGCAGGAGTGGTAACATTCAGAGAAGTTCTCTCTCATTGGCTTTCATTTCTCTTACCCTCTAAAATTTGATTTAATTTTGCAAGGCTTTTCATATCTTCTGCAAACCACTACTGCATTCCTTCATTTCTCAGGTAAGTTGGAGCATTGTGGGGATGTGGGATCCTTTGCTGAACCTGGCTCTGAGTGGAATGAATTTAGGTGTTGAAGTCTTTGATTTTGGGTTGGTGGTGGTTTGGGGGTTCTTTACATTTAAATTTGTTATTTCATTTGGGGTTTTGTTTGTTTGTTAATTTTAATGGTAGTACAGTGTTTAAAGTGAAATATTTGCCTCTTCCTTTGCCTTACTCCTGTAAAGGCCTTATAGAAATGTAATAGAGTTTGTAACAGATTTTCAGTTTTATCAAAACTCAGATATTTCACAGATTAATCATCACACCCCCCCCCCCCCCCCAAAAAAATTTCCTGCTAATGTGATATATTTTTTTATGAAAGAGTCTCCCCTCTTGTGTGAAACCCCCTGGGGAAGAGGCTATGGACAAAACCATTGACAAACAGCAGAAACTGGCTTCAGACAAAATGCTGTCATACATAGCAAATGAAGAGACAGGAAAAAACATTTCTGTAATTTTCCAGCAGAGATTTTACTTATAATAAGAGTGGAAGGCACATTTCCAGATAGAGGTGAGTTGCTATATAAAAAAAGTAAGTTTGGTTGGTTCTGATTTCCAAGAATCCCAAGATGTTTAGTTTTGGGAGACTTTGTTTTTAATGAAAGCTGAAAGTGTGTTTTCTTTTAATTGGTATCATGTTTGAATTTTCTTTTTTGATCTTGTTCTGAGGCACAATTAGGCTTCAGTTCCACAGGGACAAGCTACTATTCTACTGTAAATTATTTTGGCCAATTTGTATTCAAAAGAGTTGTAATAAATTAGTCCTATTGTAGTGTTTCCTTAACATCCAGAGCTGAAACTAAGTTTGTAGCATAAAGCATAAATGAACTATTGCAAACAAAGCCTATACATGAAGTTTAATTTTAACTTGGAAATACCCTTGGATTCATTCAGGATATGTGATTAAAGTAAATCTGTCTTATGACAGACCCTTGGCTTGAAGGTTGTGGTGACCTCATTGTTGACCTTGGCCTCAGATCCCATCTGTCCATAGTTCTGTCCTGTTTGGGAGGGTTGGAGCTGAATATAGAAAGTAATACCTCTGTTCGAGTGCTGGTGTACCTTTGCTGAGCTACAGCTCTTGTTCTCCAAACTCCAAATTGCTTCCATTCTGAGTTCAAGTCCCAGATAGAATTCAAAAGTAACAACAATCATTTGGAGTGGTTTGAAACTTTTCTGTGGCTATTTTGGATCTTCCTCCTGTGGCCAGCTGCACTGCGTACCTGAGGGTAATCATTTTGGTTACATAATAATGGGGTGCTTTTCTTGCAAGTTCTTACCTTCAAAACTCTTTTGCATAAATTTTGCCAATGCCTGAGCATAGTCTTCATCAAAGCACTAAAGCCATTTCCTAAGTAAGTGTTTGATGTCTAAATAACATGAAATGGTTTCTGGTTTTGCCATGGATTGCTCACCCTTTGTGCCCACTTTTTTGTGTTGTAAGAGTAGTTACTAAACTCAAAGAATGTATGCTATAATGTATTGATCAAATTCAATGTGTGTGTATATATATGTATATAAAAATGTGTGTTTAGAGTGAGAAAATGGTTATTTTCTTATTTGTTTAGAGTTGCCGTCCTGCTCTCAGGGAAACCAGTTTCCCTAACTGTGTTCTTTTTCATACCATTTGCCTTATGTAATGCTTAATTAAGAGTATTTCTTAAAAATGCTCTGTTGTCAAGTATTCACAGGGAGGAGGGGAAGAACAGGAAAATGGGAAGTTGGGCAGAAAAAGAAAGCAGTTCTTAAGAGTTCCTTTCTCCACCCATCCCTTCAATAAAGAAAAGTATGCAAGAAACCCCCTGAGCAAATAGTACAAGGTAATTTGCTAGTGCTGCTCATGATACATTTCACAGTGCTCTGACTAAAAACCTCAACCTCTGTTGAGGAACCAGTAATCTTATTAGGAAAATAAACCTTAGCCTTTCCCAATCTTATTAGAAAAATAAACTTTAGCCAAACTTTCAGAATGCCTGAAAGTTTGTCTTGTTCTTTTGTTTGTGCGTTGCTTCTGCTTAATGTACAGATAGACACTACTAGTAGAGTAGTTACTCAAGCTGCTGCTCTTTTGGCATTAACCAGCTGCAAGGTTCTGTTTAATAGCAAGCCAGGCTCCTGCTCCAAGCAGTTTCTGTGGATAGACAGGAGGCTAGTCCCTGTTTTGTTAGAAGTTGAATACTGTTTAGATTGTGTTTTGAGAAAAAGACAATCTCCTCAGCATGATTTTTAGTGCTTAGTCCAGCTTTGAAGAGTAGGAAGCTGGTTTTATGTTGATTTAAGGGTTGGTTTTTTCTTAGCATGCCTGTTTTTGAATCCAAGTACCTGCAGCTGCTGTGGGGAGATGCTGCTTCAGACAGACAAGGTGTTGCTGTTGTCTGTGAAGCCTTAAAGGACTCATCAAGAATTGCTTGTCCTTCACATGCCTAGAAATGACTTCCAACATTGCTTGTTCTTTTACCTCATCAGGGATGAGATGAGGCTCTTTGATCTGTCATTTCCTGGGCTCTGCTTTTGCCTTTTCCAAAGATAGGAGGATAACAACAAGGGGAGAGAGAATGTGTGTATAAGGTAGATGATTCCAATTTCCTGGTATCTCTGATGAAGCTCACCATAGTGTATTAGAGGCCACCAGCACTTCAGGAACTGTTGATGAGATGGTTGAGAGCTCCTGGAAAAAGATTGAGGCCCTAAAAAATCAGAAAGGGGGAAATTTTGTACTTAATTTTCAAAAGAAAAAGGTTGAACCAATTAGCAAGGACTCAGCAGAAGTTGCAAACTGCTGCTGTACCAAAGCCGCTGCTTTATCTTGGTTATAATTCTGTTTGAGGTATACATTGTCCTTTTTGAAAGGATGTGTGTTTGACCTTTGAATTCAAGCAGTACTCCCACTTTTTTCACTTCCAGATGTTAGAGTTCCTTTTCTTCATCTGAATTCTGCAGGAAGGGTTATCAAAGCTTCCTCATGT